CAAGAATATCCCTTGTGCTTTTGCTACAGCAAGAGAGAGGGTGATTTGATTTATTTTATTTTATTTATTTTTAGTAGTTGGATAGTCACAAAATTCCATCCCCTTCTTTTTATTCAGCAAACAAAATCGGTTAAATTGAACATACATTCAGGAGCAGCGTGGAGCACATTTGTCATAGACAAATAAGACTGGAAGAAGTCAAATAAGACTGGACATCAGAAGTCTTCTAGGCCCAGTGGTTCTCAACCTTTTTTCTACCAGGACCCATTTGTAAACATTGGCCAGTCCCAACCCAGTAGTTTAAATAGAAAACATCCCCTGGCCCTGCCAGTGCCCCTCACTCCAGGCCCCCAGTCTGGGGGTGGGGGAGCATGAGGGGCCCCAAGCAGCCCCTTGCAGGTTGGAACTCTACCAGACTGCAAGGGGAAAGCCATGGTTTTCTACATTTTTCTCCTTTAAAGGAGAATCTATTTTTAAAGTTTGTTGATCCATTTTTAAAGTTTGCTTGTGACCCTTTGATATATTCTTGAGACCCACAGGTTGAGAAATGCTGATCTAGTCCAACCCCCTGCCTGAGGCAGGATCATCCCTATCCAAACCATCTTGTGCAAATCTGTTGTCTAACCTATTAGTAAAGCTACAGGGTCAACCCTGGCACAACTACAAGACATCACATCCTATATAAAGTAGGGAAAATATAAATATACTATAAAGTAGGGGAACCAGATGATGGTTTGGTGCAAGCCACTTCCCTGCAGAACTCAATCCTGACTGACCTAGAGAGATCCATGTCTAGGTATAAGAGGAGTTTGGTCTTTGTGACCAGTTAAGTTCATGTCTTCTCTGTCAAGACTGTTGCAGTAAGGGTAATGAAAGCTATTACAGTGATGATCATTTAGAGCTTGTCTAAAACCCCTGATGCATCATCCAGTGATGTATTGGAGAGCAGTGAGCCTCAACTAATTTGGAATGAGCAATTTGTAAGGCCTTATCCCATGGCTGATCTGAGCTCATCTGTTCCTAGTTTCAGCCAGCGCTTCCAGTTTCCCAGGCACCCTAGCCAAGATGTTTTTTGTGGGGAGGTGTTTCTTTCACATTGTCAATGTAGAGGTTCTGTTGGCTAGAACCCCTTTTGCCTGCTGGCCACCGAGAGATTTGGCTGCTGTGCTGTCTTTTACGTTTCTCTTTTATTGAAACATTTAAATATTAACGTAACATTTTTCTTCCTTTAATCCAGGGATGGTGAACCTCTGGGCTGCCGGTTGGCCAGGGACTCCATTTCCCAGCTGCCCCTGCCCACATGACTCGTGCCAGTTTCCATGGAGACTTCAGCTCACTGGCAGTATGTGTGGCAGAATAGCGCAGCACAGGGAGCTGCCAGTAATGTGGAATGGGGGCGTAGCCTGCATGCTCCAAGCAGGGGCACGCATGTGGGGGATCATGGCTCTGCCGTGGCTCCACACAGTATGTCACCACTGCAAAGTGCCAGGGCAGCCACAATCCCTGCATGCATGCCCCTGCCTGGAGCGTGCAGGCTACAGATCACAGCTCTGACCTGGCTCCAGAGCAAGCTGCCCCTGTCCCACATTCCCAGCAGCTCTGGAGCAGCCCTCTACACTGCTCTGCTGTGCTTGCTGCCGGTGCAGCTGAGGCTGGGGTCTCCATGGAGATCAGCACAAGCCATGCGGGCTGGGGGACTGAGAAATGGAGTCCCTGGCCAGCCTGATCTGACCTGCGGGCCGGACATGCCCTCCCTGCTTTAATCTCTTGTTGTATCTCTGGTAATTTGGTGCTTCAAATGAGACCCTTTATTTCAAATCTAGTGGCTGTGCAGTTTTTTGGCTTCTATCCTTGTGATATGGGGCTGCCACAGAAGTATGTAATGATGGGGTCAGAACTCACTGCCAGTGAGACTAATGCCTATCTGGTTCACTGCACCTTCTGACTTGGTGGAGGAAAGGTTGCTGTGCTGTGTACTCATTGGCTGAGCCATGAAAATAGCTTTCCTACAGGAGGCTCTTCCAGTTCTCACTTCTGAAATTTGAGGAGGATTCTTGCTCTTCAGCCCAGAAGCTGAATCTGAGGGAACATCATGCTTCTCTTAATGGCTTCCTTAACTAAGCTGGGCCATTAAATTTCCTGGCTCTTTTCTTACCAGGTATGTGTCTCGTTACCATGTGAAGGACTCTGCGCGACATGTGATTCTGGGAACACAGCAGTTCAAGCCTAATGAGTTTGCCAGTCAGATTAACCTGAGTATAGAAAATGCATGGGGCATCCTTCGCTGTGTTATTGACATCTGCATGAAACTAGATGAGGGCAAGTACCTCATCCTCAAGGACCCCAACAAGCAAGTGATCCGTATCTACAGTCTGCCTGATGGCACCTTTAGCTCGGATGAGGATGAGGATGATGAAGAGGAGGAGGAGGAAGAGGAAGGTGAGTGACTGCTCAGTAGCTGTACTGCCAAGTGGTTTGACCTATGGCCTGGGAGAAAGATGATCATATAGCAATATGAAATAAGAATCTTCATGCTGTGTACTACAGCAAAGGGAGGTGTGATGGAGCATGCAGTCTCTGAGGGCCTTCCAATCAGTGCTAGAAATGTGTAAACATGCTAATGATATTCAGAGGATGCTAAATTAAAAGGACAGTGAAAAACAGAAGTGGGACCTGGGGATACATAAAAACATGAGCACTGAAAAATAGGATGAGGTGCAACCTGGGAATTAGAGTGGAGGACAGAACCTAAACATGGGAACTAGCTGGGAGGATGGGTTTGGAAAGGAATGCACAGCTTAATACTGAATCATAGGATGCTGTAATCATTGACTTGGTGCAAGTGGCAGGTACCCAGCAGTAATGAGAATTGAGCCATTTTCTCCCTGCACTTGCAGATCAAAGGGAAGAAATGCAAAGCAAGATTGAAAACACGAATGAGAGATTGGAGCGATTTGGGGCAACTTCAAAGGAATATGGTTTATAGGACCACTAGCAATACAGGCTAGATGTTTCTGCAGAAGTATCAGGTGTAGATGAACTACCTGATCTAATTGCTGGTCCTTGGTGCATGCTCTTTAACAGATTCTCTTCCCCACTGTTTGAAGCAGCTTTATTTGATCCTCATGTTACTAGTATGGTGACATCTTAATGTCACAGACTGTATGTAAATTTGGGCAGGCCTCAGTGCATTTGGTTCATAATTTGAAGGGTTGATGCATAACTGTTACAGCTAGAGAGTTTTTTTTTTTAACCCACATTTCTAGGTTCAAACCAAATCATGCAGCTGCTTGAAAATTTGGAAGTATGTAGCAATTTATACAGCCTTTTAACTTTATAGTTCATGGGATCTACTAATGAACAGACTTGTACAGAGTGAGAATGCCAGGCAAGATGTGACCTGAATATGTCATCTTTAAACTACTGTGATTTTTTTTTTCTTGCTGTGTTGTTCCACTATCCTGTCTTTCTCTCTTTCAGAGGAAGAGAGCTAAACCCCATGGTCAGATAACAGGGGCTGCAATAACCTAGACAAGTCATCCCACTTTTCCGCAGTTCACAGGTGGATCTTGTTGAATGTTTGCACCATGCCCATTTAGAAGCCTGTCTAACAAATGGAATAAAGTTATTTTGTTCTGTTACGTTTGTGTCTTGGGATAAAGTGTGTTCTGTGCTAACAAACCTGTCAGGTAGATATAACTTGATAGACGTAACTTGGCATGAAAGCAACCACTGAAAAACAGGAAGAGAGATGGTAGCGAAGCAAATTACTTTACAAAAAGCATGCTGTTGGTTTTCCGTATCACCCTACTTGGTAGAAAGGGATATGTATTCTCTATTGCAGTAAAGGAAATGAGTTGAGCAATCTTTTCCTCTCTTTCTCTGAAGCAATGAGTGGTATTGACAAAAGGGGCTGGTTGCCTCTGAAGTCTGCTCTAACTACTGCCTTTTTATGACTGAGTGTGCTGTTCTGGAGTTAGTGCAAGTGTTAACACCCATGATAGTGCTGCTTGTTTTGCATACCAAAGCTTGGGGCTTCTTCCATGGAGGAGTTCCCAATCAATCAAGCAAACACTCATGCTGCAGTTCTGCAGAGGTGGGTGGTTCTCTCCCAACCGCTGCATGCCGCTTACTAATGGCCTTGGCATGCTGAGCTGGCGGGTTGTGGATACTGCAGAGGTCTTTCTCTAATCCTATCCCACCAGCCACCCTGTGGCCTCCTTGGTGGGGCTTGTGCGAGAAGATGGTATGCTGATCCTCAGGCCAGCAGTGCAGAAAACTAGGTAACTAGGCTGTCTGTACACTGCTAGAGAGAGACAGTTGGCCATGTTAGGCAGGACAGACTTACATTTTATAGAGTGGGGGCCTAGCCAACAGGCTGGATCTGGCCTGCAGAACCACCAAATCCAGCCTATGGGTCTCTCCAGAGGGACTGCTCCCTTGCCACTCAACTTCCAAGCCCCACATGGCTGAATCAGTCCCACACAGAAGGATCAGGCCCTATTCCTGCATTCTGGATTGAGCTGGGGTCCAGTGCAGCCATGCAGAAACAACCTGGGCAGGGCCTAATGCAGCTACTTGGAATCAGCCCAAGTTGGGCTATTCCCACAAAACTGGATCCCCCCTGGGCTCTCGACTGGGGACTGCTCATCCAGCCCATGGACTGACAAGGCCGTGCACCCCTGCTATAAGCACACCAAAGGAGAGAGAAGTGTTAGCCCAGGCTTTAGTAGGCTTGAAGTTCCCTGCATCTGAGCATCACTTCAGCTTGTCCTCTCTATTTGGGGGGAGGGATGTACAGATGCACACTATATAGATATAGAGATTATATATAAAATCTATATGTTGTTTTTTTTATATATATATATATATATATATATATATATAAATGCATAGAAACTACATATACTTATGAATATAGTGAATAAAATATAATAACTTAAAGTAGATGGATGTCCTCCATACCTGCATCTCCCTTGACTAGTCTCCAAGGTGCATATAATATAAATAGTTGTATTTCTATTACATATAGCACATAGAAACTATATAAATATATGATCGTGAATAATGCAGTCAATAAAATATAGTAACGGCCTATACATGACACTGATGCCCTCCGTAGCTGCATCTCCCCAGGCTAGTCTCTAAGGTGCAGCTCTCCCCCAGGCCGCCCCAGTCCAGTGCACCTAGAAGCGCTAGAACTCCGCCCGCCGCCCCCCGTGGGCTTGGCTGTGCGCCTGCGCAGCTCGAGGCCCCGCCGCGCAGCTTCATCCCCAGCACGTGGTCCGGCGCGCGACCCCCCGCCCGGGAAGAAACGCTGCCCGGCGCCGGTGTCACGTGCCTCCTCCGAGGGGGGGGGCAGGGGCGCTCCGCACAGGCGCACCCTGCTGATTCCACCGCTCTCCTCGCCAGGACTCCCTCCGGAGGAGCTGGCCGCTCTTGCCGCCCGCCTCGTTGGTAGCGTACAGTCTGTCCGGCGCGGGAGGACTGGAGCGGGCTGCGACTCTATGGGCCAGGTTTGGTGTTTAGGGGGCAGCCGGACAGGACCTGCCTGATCGATTCGCGACGGCCCGACGTGTCAGGTGCGTCAGGACGTCACGTCTGACGCTGCCTCCGCCCTTCCTTCTATTGGGCGGGCGGTGGGGGAGGGGCCGGGGATCATGCCCATTTCCCCAGTGGCCAGTGGGGAGCGGAGTGTTCAGTGACCCCCGTGTTCCCCATTGGCCCGAGGGTTCACAGTGCCTTTCCTCATTGGCTAGGGGCGGGGGGGGTCTCACCCCATTGGCTGGAGGGTTCACATTGCCTTTCCCCATTGGCTAGGGTGCAGTAGGGTAATGGGGGACTCTCACCCCATTGGCTGGAGGGTTCACACTGCCTTTCCCCATTGGCTCTGGGGCAGTGGTGGGGGGCAGTTGGGGGTTGGTGGCTCTTTCTGCCTGTGGGGGCAGGGGACTGCTCAGGGGTCTGCCATGTGTCCCTCTGAAGTGGGAGCTGGCCAGGTCCAAGGAAGGCTGCCCCAGCTGTGGGGCAGAGGGGGCCGGGCGTGCCCATTGCAGGATCTGCAGGGCTTGCTCGGAGGGGCCCCGATAAGCGCTCGTACCCCTGCCGAGCTGCAGAGTGCCAAGGCAGCAGCTGCCCTGGGCCCCACGAGCACCTTGTGTCTGGGTTTTGTTTTGAACAGAGCTGGCCTCACTGCTCCACCATGGCTGTCCCTCTGGCCAAGGGCACGCGGGGTCTGCTCCTGACCTTTGTCTTGTGCATGAGCTTGGCCTGCACCAGCTGTGCCTCTGCCCTTGTGCATCATGACTACTGCATCGTAGGAGCCGGCCCCTCGGGCTTGCAGATGGCCTATTTCCTCCAGCAAGCGAGCCGAGACTACGTGGTGTTCGAACGCAGCCACGCGCCCGGCAGCTTCTTTGCCCTCTACCCCCGCCATCGCAAGCTCATCAGCATCAACAAGCGCTACACAGGCAAATCCAACAGCGAGTTCAACCTCCGCCATGACTGGAACTCATTGCTCAGCCACGACAGCCGCCTGCTCTT